GCAATAAGTTAACGCGTTAAAGAGCTCTGTTACCATTTTGCAAATGTAACGAAATACCGGAGTCGTTACTTGCCATGACTAACGAACGTTATTTTTACGTTAGTTTATCGTTACTTTTTGTTTCACTGTTAGTACGTGACAGCGGTTAGCATATGACTGTAGAGACTCAACGACAAAGGTCTCCACAAGATTGTCAAATGCTTTTTGAGAAAGAGGAGCTTCATGCATGCGGTCGATCTTCCTCTGCTTCAGCAAGGGCGTGTCGGGAAACTGGGTTGTAGTTTTGGTCTTTAGTTTCTTTGAAATTATCGCGAACTCTGATAGCTTCTGTGAATGGAGGGACAGGCGGAAAAAAACAAAACAATTAGAACTGATGCGAAGCACCGCTGTTAATTTCTAGTTATCAGAGGTGTGGAACAACTAAATATTAAATAAATAAACTGCATTACGAATTTGTACAGAAAAAACTTGCTAAATAAATCGCAAACTTAAACAAATATCCAATAGGCGTGTTTATATATAACTGCCATGATTGATCTACCCCCTTCTGAAATATACAAGTAAACTGAATTAAATTTAATTATAATACAATTAAATGCAAAGGGGCAAGCGAGCTGGAGAAGAATGACGAACATAATCCCTGGAGAAAGAGAACAAGAGGGACAAAGGAGAAACAAAAATCTCCAAACATAGCAAGGTAAGTGGTGCGCGACCAAAAAAATCTTCCTGCTCAGGATATCGAACCTGGGACCTCTCCATTTCAGTAAAGCGCTCTACCAAGCGAGCTAACCAGGGGTTAGATATCAGTAGAGCAAACAGGTTTTATCAGCTGCTACCAGTCTCACACCAGCAAGGGTTAAGCTTGGATTTTAAGACTGTAAATATAATGCAATTAAATGCAAAGGGGCAAGCGAGCTGGACAGGTGTCCAAATGCGTCCAACTTTAAAGTTTATTATTTTTGTTGTTGACAGAAAATTTGTTCATTTTGAAGAGAAGGATATGACCAGCTGGAGTACCTAGGGGCAATTAGGCAGAATCCTTCGAGCGGCGGCAGACTGTTGCCTTCTGAGCGGATGTTTCTTTTCAGCGAGACGGCTGCTCGTTCAGGGCACGGCGACGGTGGTCTTAGTAGCTCCGATACAAACACTGCACCAAGGACGCTCACGAATTCCGCAAAGCGATCATCTCACATCTTTTGGACCCGGTCGTGGAAACGTTGACAGTGTCTTCCAAGGGAGTTTGGAATGACGCCGTTTATACGTAGCTTTGTAAGGGTTTCTTTGCCACTTTTTTTTGTAGTGCGCAGAATAAAAATTATTTTGCTTTCAAACTATCATGCGGCCATTTTTAATCAAAAGTAACAAGTTGCATTTCATTTCATTTCATTTATTGACCTCAAAAGCATCTATTGACGCATTACATGAGAGGGGATTACAAGAATGGGGGAGAAGTCGTGACTGATACATATATGGGAAACTTTGAAAAAAAAACTTATTCACCAATGCTGCAACAAAAACGCCAAAGTGCACAAAAGAGGAAAACGTGCAATGGATTGCACACACATTGTGGAACTCGAACAGCACAAAGACTGAAGTTAACAATAATACAAAAACCGTTCATAGACTAGCAAGTAAACAAAACAACTCTTCACAACTCTGTTTAAACAATATCGGGTCAGATAAAACCACAACATCACTGGGGAGACTATTCCATTTCTTTATGGCTAAAGGGAGTGGTGAAAACATGAACAGGTTAGTACGTGACTTAATGGGCTCAATTTCGAAAGAATGATCAAGTCTAGGAGATATGATATATGAGCAGGGAAATGTTTTGAATTATGATATGTCGTAATATATTTGATAAAAAAAAAACAACATAAACGAGCAATTTTCCGCCGAATCTCTAAAGAGTATAAGCCCAAGCTTCTCTTTAAGTCTGTGACACTTGTGAAGGTGGAGTACTCGTGACAAATGAATCGCGTAGCTTTATTCTGCAGAGCTTCTAGTTTTAAAGCTAAATAGCTTTGGGGAGGATTCCATATAATACTGGCATATTCTAGTTTAGAAAGGATGATTGATTTATAAGTTAGTAGCTTCGTTGTTTGTGGAGCGGAATGAACGTTACGTTTTAAGAAACCGAGCTTCTTAGATGCATTTGCGATTGTGCTCTCTATGTGCGTTTTTCAGGACAAGTTGCTGGTAAAATGAACCCCTAAATACTTATACGATGGTGCATTTTCAATAACCTGGTTTAAAATCGAATATTGGAAAGATGGCAATGTTTTTGTGTTTGTAACTGTTAATACTAGAATTTAGAATTTACTAGAATTTATTTTCATTTGCCAGGTAACACACCACACGCTGATTATGTTCAGGTCGTTTTGAAGAATTAAGTGATCGGCTGGGGAAGATATTTTTCGATAGATAGCACAATCATCGGCAGAGAGCCCAATTGTTGACGTAATACTTTCTGGGAGGTCGTTAATATTATATACTAAAAAAAGTAAGGGTCCGAGAACGCTTCCTTGGGGCACTCCAGAGAAACACTATCGTTAACCATTACTGATTGGGTTCTGTTAGTAAGAAAAGCCGATATCCAGTCAGCTATCGAGGGCTCAATTTGAAGGTGACGAAGCATGGAAATTAAACGCGCATAAGGTACTGTATCAAAAGCTTTTGCGAAATTGATAAATATAATATCAGTTTACGCTCCAGCATGGGTGTTTAAGTGTAAATCATGTTCAAATTCGAAAAGCTGCGGGTTACATGAGTAGTTTTTCCTAAAACCATGTTCATTAGGAAAGAAAAAGTTGATTTGATCTAAGTGCCATGATGTTCGTAAAAATAACATGTTCCATTGATTTGCAAGACACATTTTTCAGCGAAATTGGACGGTAATTAGACGGGTTGGACGCGTCGCCAGATTTAAAAAGGGGCCTAGCAATTTCAGAACTCCAATCGGGTGGAACACTTCTCGAATCAACACTTTGTTGAAATAGATTAGAAAAAAAGAGGAGATACAAAACCTTTTATCATCTTAAGAAACTTTCCTGTTATGGAATCCTCACCCGGGGCACTGTTGGTTGGGAGTGTTTCTATTATCTTTATAGTGCCATCACTACTAAATTCAATGGGAGACATAGCAATAATTGGGCGTTCAGAAATAGGTGGAAGGGGGAGGTCTTCCTCCGTGAATATGCTCGAAAAAAAAAACAAAAAAAAAACGAGTTGAGCAAATCGGCAGCCTCACCGTCGTTCATTTGGCAAGAATCGTCCCCTATGAACGCGAGGTTGGTAAACCATGACTCGGACTGATAGCCTTCCAAAACTTGCGCGTGTCGGAACGGAGAAGGAGCGATAACTTGGGACCAAAAAATTCCTTCTTAGTCCGAGTCGAAAACAGGCGATTAGACGACCAATCGCAATCCTCACCACTCCTTTTAGCTTTAGCAAACAGTCGTTTCTTTTTGTTTAGTAAGCGCTTTAAGTTGGTCGTAAACCAAGGTGAAAGGGCGTTTGATCTAATTTTGATTATGGGTACGTAGGCTGAAAGCAGGTGCTGCAGCGTAGTTTTAATATTCATCCAGTTGTTTTCCACCGAACGACCCGCGCAAGTTATAAAATAATGGTCAAAGAACAAAGCTAGTTCAGCGTTTAAGCCGTCAACATTTGCACGAGTGTAATCATGAATCTGCTTACGGCAGTTTCTGAAGTGCTTTAAAGTGAAAGATGTTTCAACATGCACAATCGCGTGGTCACTAATGAGGTCAATGACGTTAATTGAATTTACATATTCAGCATTAGATATCAAGAAGAAATCTAAAGTTGCGAGATCCCGTGTGGGAACGTTCACCATCTGTGTTAGTTCAAACGCTTCTAACAAACAAAGAAACTCGTTGTAGTGACTTGAATGCGCCGAGTTTGGGAATGGTTGGAGTGTCTCCCACTCTATTCCTGGATAATTAAAGTCTCCAGCAAATATAAGAATATCGTTTGGGTAAGCACTCTTTACTCTGCCAAGGCAGGTGTACAAGCTCTCGTTAAAGTCACCAGGGTTAGCGCTCGGTGGACGGTAACAGGCACCAATCAAAGCGTGGCGAAAGTCCAATTCTACCCGGATACAGATTATTTCCAAGCTGGAATCGCACCTAACAAGGGAACAAGGAATGTCATTTTTAACTGCAATGAGTACGCCCCCTACCCTCATGGAAATTCGATCCTTTCAGAAAACTTTGTAGTTTTTACTTAAGATTAGTTCGGAGTTCTCGACACTGGACGTCAACCAAGTTTCTGGACCGAGAATAATATCTGGGTCGCATGACGAAGTGATGCACTCGAAATCATCTTGTTTGGAAACTAAGCTGCGAAAGTTCGCTACAAAAAAAAGATAACGTTGGTACATTTCTAGGAGAAGATACCGATGAAGATAGTTCATCTAGAGCGAGTCACTCGGCTGGACGTGGACTTACACGTGGTGGGACAAGCAATTGGATGACAGCCGCGCTTTCATTATTGTACACATACGTTTGGTTTCCGATACGTAGTTTGTCGAAAGAAAGCTTATATCTAATATTCTGGTCTCGAAATTGGAACGCAAAGTCTCACAACTTTTGTCTAGCGAATTGCACGTTGGGTGAAAAATCCTCAGAGATCCAAACTTTCGTAGACACCACATTTTTTAGTTTGTGGGCATTTCGTAGGACCTCATCTTTCCTCTTAAAGCTTAGGAACTTGATAATGACCGGTCGGGTCGGTAACTGCATGGTAACGTAATTTGATAGCAGATACCTTAAAATAATAACGACGTTACTTTACTCGTTAGTCGTTTGGGATTCTAACGAGTATGTTAGTACGTTACTAAAAAAACTAATGCATTAACAGTAACGTCGTTACTTGTAACGCGTTAGTTCCAACACTGACCGCGGCAGACGATATGCTTCCTACCAAAGACAATCGATTGTTCGGAGCGAGCCACGCGAACCTCCGGATGAATGGAGATCTTAGATCTTAGATCTTTCAGCTGACGAGCTTCGTGGAGAGAGAGAGAGAGAATGCACTTTAATATTGAGCACAAAGTAAGTGTTCAAAACATCCATGGCTTGTAACACCAAGGCCATTTGGTCATCCGGTTCGTCTGACGCCAGCCAGGCACTCCAGGAAAGGGGAGGGGGGTTAGGGAGGAACGGTGTGGATAGTGCAATAGGGCACTGTAGGAGGCAATGTTCCAGGTTGGCGTATGGGGAGGGGCAGTTAGGGCATGAAGGATCAGAACGACGCCGAAGAAGAAAAAGCCTAGCGGGAGTAAGAACGGTGTTCGTTTGGATTTTTCGGAGGACGTGAGTTTGTGCCACATTGAGGTTCGGGTGGGGTCGAGGTAGTCGTTGTTGAGAGTTACGGAGCTGCTTGTAATAGAAATTGATTGAGCGTTTGTAGATTAAGGCATCGTCACTGGTCGGGGGGCTAGGCCACGGGATCACAGGCGCTCGGATTTGCATTTCGCGAGCGAGTTGATGAACCAACTCATTACCTGTGATCCCGCTGTGACCAGGGACCCACCGAACGGTGACAGAGGATGGGTTTAGTGCACGCAGAGCTTCATCGAGGACCGATCTGAGATCTGGTGGGATTTTGCGTTGCTGCAGAGCGCGTATGGCTTCCTGGGAGTCCGTATAGATTGTATAAGCTGATGTAAGAGGTAGTTGGGAGAAGGTTTGGATAGCATGTATAATGGGAACTATTTCTAGTGTGATGATATTTGGAGGGTTGCTATATGGACCGCAGGTGTGAACTGTGGCGGTTGGGGATTGTGGTGTATAGATTGCATATGCCCCAGCTCCCGTATCTCCTGTGTTGGAGATGGATGCATCAGAATATGCTACGGTGTGTGTCTGAAAGGGGGGATTGTGATGGATAGCTTGCGCCCTCCTGCGACCGTCGTTGAGGCCCGGGGACATGCGGCGAGGCACAGGGGCGAAGCGCAGATTTAACGGTAGGGCTGGGGTAGGTATATGTAAGGGAAGGTCTATGGGGGAAAGTCCTGCCTGCTCCAGGATCCATCTACCCTGCGGTGTTCCTGAGAGGCGGGCTATCTGCCGATCTCGATGCAGGTGCAAAAGAGAGGTGAGGCGGAGAAAGAGGCCTGTTTCGTATAGTTTTTGGTTGGAGGTGGAGATGGGAAGGTTTAAAGAGGCCTTGTATAATGTGTTTAATGCTGCTGAGAGTTTGTTGATTTGTTGTTGTGTGAGTGTGACATATGGTATAGAATAGAGAATTTTACTAAGGGCTAACGCATGAACTAGGTGACTGGCCTGCTTCTCGTGGAGACCCGCGTGCTTTTTGACCACTCTGCGTACCAGGGAGGTAACCGAGTGGCATGTGTTTATGACTGAAACGACGTTGGCTTGATGTGATCTTTCCCGTAAATGCATGCCCAGAATTTTACATGTAGAGACTTTCGGGATGGGGTGCTGACCGATGTGTAAGGATATGTGCTGGTTAACAGATCGCTGATATTGAGTATGTGATAGAAGAAGCAGTTCCGACTTTTCTGGGGCAGGTTCAAGGCCTGCTTGTTCAAGATATTCAGCTATAATGTCCAGTCCCTGCTGCAGAGTCGATTCCACTTCCCCTGGTGACCCGTGAGTGCACCAGAGGGTGAGGTCGTCCGCGTAGAAGATGTGTGAGAGTTGGGGGACTTGTTGGAGGCGATAGGCCAGCTGGGCCATGCCGAGATTGAATAGAGTAGGAGACAGCACCGCCCCTTGTGGGGTGCCGCGTGTGAGCGTGATCGGTGGGGACGTCTCAGCCTCAATACGAAAACTGGCTGTGCGGTCTTTAAGGAAGTTCCGGATGTAAGTGTAAAGCCTCTGTGCGCAGCCTGTTTCTCGGACTGAGGCGAGTATGTGATCGTGGCCGATGCAATCGAATGCTTTACGAACGTCTACAGTGACAAGGGCGTGGACTTGAGCAGATGGTGGGGAAAGAAAAGTGTGTTGAAGAAGGAGAAAGAGGTCTTGTGTGGATACGTGAGAACGGAAGCCAATTTGTGTGTGGGGGAAGAACGAGATGGTTTCCAGATGGTCCCGGAAACGGTCCAGCACCATCCTTTCTATCGTCTTGCCCACACAGGAGGTAAGCGAAATGGGACGAAGGCTGGTGAGAGAGGGAGGTTTTCCTTGTTTCGGTATCATGGTGATGATAGAGGATTTCCACTCTTGTGGTAAGGTACACTCCGACCAGTGTGTATTTATATGAGCCAGGAGCTGCTCTTTGTCTTCCTGTGGGAGATTTCGGAGTAGCGTGTACGTAATGGCATCTTCTCCGGGTGCAGATTTTTTAATGTTTTGTGTGAAAGCCCAGTCCAGCTCTGCTAAGGTGAAGGAGCGGTCTAATTCTGAATTCTCAGGGCCTGTGTAGGATGGGTAGTTCGACGAAAGTGGTGCAGGGATGTACAAATCCTCTAGTGTCTGAGTCAGCTGCCTTGAGCCCTGAAGGGTGAGATATTTAGCCAAGGTAGGTATGGGGGGAGGGTGGGGTCCTAGAAGGGATCGGAGTAGATTCCATGAAGATTTTTGGTGGAGAGAACCGTTGATTTCATTACATATCTTGTTCCAGTTTGAGATATCTAAGACGTCGCAGTGCGTAATAATTTCCTTGTTGACATCGTCTAATCGTTCTCGAAGTTGGTGATTAAGAGGCTGTCGATTTATGTGTCTGAGGATTCGCTTCCGTCGTTTCCAGAGGCGCGTCAGGTAAGGATCGGGCTGTGGTGATGGAGCTGTTGTTTTTTCTGGCTTGGTTGCCTGTGTCTGAGCTTTTTTTATCGCGTGTATCCAGATCTCATACGACTCTGACTGGCGCTTAGTAGAGGCCAAGATGCTGCGGAAGGTGTTCCAGTTGGTGTGTTTGATGGAGACTTTACGAGGACTTGAGAAAATGTTAAGTGTTATGGAGAGGATGAAATGATCGCTCAAGAGTCTTTCCTGGGTGTGGGTCCAAGTGCTTTCAATTCGGCCCTGGAACAGTGTAAGGTCCGGAGAAGTGGATTGCTGCCTACCAGTACCCTCTCTTGTCGGGACGTTGGGGTTGTTCAAAAGAGTGAAATGGTGTTGTGAAATGTAAGAATGTAAAATTCTTCCTGGGCGGAGAGTAGACCGATAGCCCCAGATGACATTCGGTGCGTTGAAATCTCCACCCAGGAGAACCTCGTATGTGGATGTTAACTCCGCAGTAAAGTCGAAGAGGGCCTTGAATAGACGATGCTCTTTAGGGGGGTTATAAAAGTTGAGAAAGCAGATCGGTTTGTGTTGGGGGGAGGGGTAATAAGCGCATGCCACTAGATTATGTGCTAGAGACGAGGGGACGTCCAGCGGTTCGTACTGGAGATCTCGCCGAATGTACGTGGACACTAGGGGGGACCCGTTAGGGTCGGCATGTACTACTCGGTATCCTGGAATATTTGCCGGGTGTCGCGTTTCCTGGAGAAGTAAGATCTGGGGTTCTATATCGAGGGTGAGAAGCCATTGATGAAGGGGAGTGCGATTGGTTTTGATGCTCCGGCAGTTCCATTGTATGACCAGAAATGAAATAGCTTTGGCCATTACCTTGTGGTTGGTGCGGGGGTGTGAGGGGGTGGTTGCGAGGGAGGGGCGCTTTGTTCTGTGGGTGTGGGGGGTCGGGGTCTTTTAAGAGATTGGGACACGGCTTCCATAGGCGTGGGTGATGTAAGCGCAACAATTGTCTTTTCTAAAGAAGTTACCACATTCGTAAGTTCATTTATCCGGGAAACTAGGGGGTCAACTACGCTTAAGATGTTGGACATCATGTTTTCTAGGCTCATCATGCGGTCGGTGAGTTGAGCGATCTGTTGTTCACATGGGGCCAAGCGTTCCTGGATCGAATTAAATCGCTCGTTCATATGTTGGTGATATTGTGGAGAAGTGGAAATGGGGGTGGAAGGGGTAACGGGCGGTTGAGAGGCGGGACGGAGAGTGGTGGGGAGTTCGGGAGTACCTGGTGGCGTCGACGATGGACCTATCCTCGAAGGGCTAGCTGGGGTTAACTCTGGCTCTAGCGACGATGACGGAGCCTCATTTGTAGGGTTCGTGGTAGGGATTCTGGTCCTCGGAGTGGGTTCCATGAGCGTCGTGGCTCGAGGAGGTAGAACGGCCGGTCGGAGAAGCGGCCGTTGGATCGTGGGCTGACTTGTTTGATGTGTCGGCGAACCAGGTGGTGGAGATTGGCGTCCCCATTCCGCCGTTCGGGGAAGGAATGATGTTGACTCGGGAGTCGACGCTTGTTGTTGTAAGGTTTGCTGGGGCTGCCGGTAGTGTTGTAGAGGTGAGGGCGCATGTTGGTTCATGTCCGTTGGCGTGGGTTGTGCTGTGCGCGTAGCTGCCGCTCGCTGCCTATGATAATCTCGCTGGTGGGACGATGTTGGTCGTGGTGTAACCCGCGGCAAGGTGTTGCGGAGATGGAGTCGCTGGTCATATGCTGCTTTGATGCTTGCTTTGTCTTTCTGGTGCTGTACTTGGCATGCTGGATCAAAAGACGGGTGCTCACCGCCACAATGATAGCACCAAGGGGTGCATGGATGGGGGGCCTGCTGGCTTCGTGGAAGAGCGTCGTTCGGAAACGGTTCTTTTCTGTCGCACGCGAGCAGGTACGGGTGGGCAGCATTCCTGACGCCACCAGCGGGAACGCCTCCACAGGCAATGTAGGGCCGTTTTCGAAAAAAACGTTGTTCCTACGCAAACTTTGTGTTGAGCATAAAAGTCAATAAAGGCATTTTCCACCCCATGCAGGCCATATGAGTCTAAAGTTCCACCGGTTTCGCCGCTGATATAGGGAGCCTACATACTCGCCGACTATGTAGGCTCCCTAGGCTGATATAGGGTGCCTACATGTCTGTCTGTCTCAGGGTGAAGACATCCATTGTTGCCCTGAAAGTGCCAGCGCGTGACGTTCTCGCGCACTCGGTGCGTGACTTGGACGGTAAAATGGCGTCTATGCATTAGCCAAAGCTACGCGCTCGAGCTGAGTGACACCGGATTGCGCGCAGTTCAAAATGCATAAAAAAACGATTGGGCGGAAAAATGGCTGAGATGTCACCACTCAAGCAAAAGCGCGCGTGTGTATGAAGGCACTCTAGGCTGATAGCGCAGGGAGCGCCACCGAGCGGACGCGCCCCGAAAAGGCTATCGGTGTTCTATACTCCGTTTCATACTCAGCGTGCAACGCTGTCAAAGCTACTGGCGCAAGCGTGGAGCTTGATCTCGTTGATCATTTGCACGCGTTCTCGCGCAAACAAAACCATAGATGAAGCCACGCGCTCGCGCCAGTAGCTTTCAACAGCGTTGCACGCTAAGTATGAAACGGAGTATAGAAAGCTTGCCAACTGACTTTCATTTAGTTAAGCCGGGTGGAGCGACGAGTGAAGTGTTAAAGCGGCACTGACACCCCAAAGGTCGTATTTTTTTTTTATTGTCTAAAACGATGCAAGTTGTAGTCATAGACACGCAAAAAAAAAAAAAACACAAAAAAAACGCATCACAAAAAAAAAATATTCCCCCGCGCGCGCGCGCCTTTTTTATTTTTTGCGTTTTTCTCCCCCGCTGCTCACCTCCTTGCTTTTTTGATTGGTGACGTCAAAAATCATGAAATTCAGAAGCTTTATAGGCAAGATTTCTATAACATTTAATAACGGCAATCGTAAAATATGTTTTTTAACGAAATTGCGAACGCACTATGGTCCTTCTTTTTGAACTACCAAAAACCAGAGCCCGGTGTGATGTCGCTTCCTGGATTTGTATCCTCCCTCGGAAAACTTGACGGCGCTCGAGCAGAGCATGATCGGTGAGTCGGGGAAGAAACCGTTTTTTTCCCGCGCCGGCGCCCTTCTATACCGCTCCTCACCTCATCCTCGCTTCGGGTCGCGGTGGCAACGGCGCTTCGCTTCGTAGCGTGGAGCGGAAATCCTAAAGAAAGTCGACTCGCAGGAGACCGTAAAATTTGACGTCACTGCACTGGCGCGAATCGTGCGGGAACTTCAAAGTCAGCATTTGGATTTTTTTTTTTTTTTAATTTACAAATCCTGAATTGCCAAGTTTCGAATTTTGAGGGCAATGTCCTGGCATTGTTTTCAATCGTTTCAGATAATAATTAAAAAAAACATTTTGATGTGTCAGTGCCCATTTAAGTCACGCGGTAGGTTGCAACACTGGATTGACTAGGATGACTCGTGGCACTTTTACCTTTAGAGGGGCCATGAAGACGTTCCTAGCTGAGATCGCATAAATGCGGCGATAACCCACTCTGTGGGCTCTAAGCTACCTAGAAATCCAGAAATCAGAATGATGCGCTACCGATTTCCTTATTAAAAAAGCGATCAAAAATTAAACACACCGAGGTCATCTCCGGCAATAGGAGGAGCATTGTTCTTGTGACCAATGAAAGCGCGACTTATCATTGAGATTGCAAACGCTGTTATTCCAAAATGTGTATGCTTTTGTAGATGATTAAAGCTAATAAGAGAAGTAAAAAAAATGTTAATTTTCACGGAGAGGGAACATTACATTGCAATAATCGTCTCCTTAACAATGCACTATGTTTTGTTTTGTTTTTGTTTTTCTTGTCTTTTGCGGGAGTGATGTTCCCAGTCGTCAGCTCTCGAGCGCGCTCTCGCTGGGTTAAATCGTAGTCCGGGCTGTATGGGCAACGAGCCGCGCGCATTCGAAATATCACTCCGCGGTTCCACCGATCGGAGGCGTGAGGATCACTTCGCTTGTCATTGCCTGGCAGTGGTCCTGGTTTCGGAACGTGCTCCTCCCAACGCCGGAGAGGACCTCGGTGTGTGGCGATCTTTGATTACTTTTTAATGGGGAAATCGACCGCGTCTCGTCATGATTTATGGATTTCTAGGATGCGTAGAGCCAGCAGAGTGAGTTGTCGCCATTTTTAGGCGATCTCGAAAACCTGCTCGAGGCACCTTTAAAGACATATAATGCATGAAATGCATTATAGGGAAATGGCGAGCGAACAGCTCTGTCACGTGACGTATACTTCCCCGATAAATTTAGCCGAGAACTGAATGATTCTATAAGTCACGTGACGTCGATTTGCCTCGTTAAATATGACGAAGAAACTGGATTGGTGTCTAGATCACAAGACGTGAATATCCCCGCTAAACTTAGCGGGCAACTGAATTGGTGTACAGGTCACACGAAGTCAATTTCCCGCTAAATTTAGCGGGGAAACTGAATGGGTATTTTTGTCCCGTGACGTCAAGTCACGTGGCATCAATTTTTCCGCTAAATTTAGCTGAGAAAGTGAATTCGTGCACAAATATCGCGATACTAATTTTCCCGCTAAATTTAGCGGGAAATGCACGGACGTACGGACCGGCACAATTTTGGGAATGGGGGCAGCGTTAAAAAGCAGCTTCAAAACGGGATTACTTCGGCTCTCTCTTTTAAAACACAGTGAATATACAACAATATCAAAAAAAAAAGTTATCGATTGAATCCGTTAGCTAGCAAGAAGACATTGGAGCGAATGCTCGCGCAGTAAAACTCCGGATCATAGGTTCAATCAATGTATAATCTAGAGCGTAAGAGTGTTACGGTACTCTGCAAGCTAAGGCTACGCTGGCTAAACAGCTTACATTTAGTATGATTTTCTTTTTTGGTACCTGATTTGAGGAACGAGGATCCCAATGTGGAAAGTGAGACATCGTAATATATATATATATATGTATGTGTACGATGTAAACTCAAACAGTTTAATCAGTAACTAAAGCTTCCACGCAGCATCGTTTCACAGTACTGGCGGTTATAGCTCCAAACATCATTACTAAGGTGTGCGATAAACACATAAAGGAAATGAAAGAACATTCACTACTAAATAAAACTTTAACACGGCAGGCGAGGTCACTTCACTTTTCCGAAAGTGTATGAAGACTTTATGGTATATGGGAACGGCTATATTTTATCTCAAGCAAAAAAAACGTGTAAGAATTCCCTTTCATTACGCGCCCTGTAATCTCAAGGCTGTCAAACTATGTACAAACTGTAGAGGCAATTAAGAATATTTGACCAGCAAAGTCCGAGGAACTGAAATATTAAGGTGGGCTAGTTGGTTACGCATATTACATGTAAATGGGCGGAGGACAGACGAGGATACAGTAGCGCACATATTCATATCGCTGGTCGTCTACTGCGTCATTTTTATCCTTCGCGCTATTTATGTGAAATAGGTTGAGATAGCTCTTTGAAACGTGGTGTTAACTAAAAGCCTTCCTCGGAACACTTGTGTGTTATTTACGGTGATTAACCTTCTTACTTTTGACTGTCGAGAACAAGGGGTCAGTCGCGAAATGGCTGTCGTTTGAGGCTTGGGTCTACTCTCTGTTATCTTCTTGTCGCATATTATTGCTGCGTCTAAACATTGAGGACAACAGTTGCCGAGGTCAGGAATCACGTGTTCGGCTACGTCGAATTAGTCTCCGCTACACGTGCTGCGCATCACATTCTAGAAACCCCACGCGAATGCGCGTAACCTTAGAAAGGACTCGTGGGGGCACGCAGTCGCGACACAAAATCAGATTTTCAAGGGTATTATTTTTTTGTTTTACTTGTGAATACTGTTTATTTTAAGTGCGGGATTTTAACAGGTGTGAATATAGGAGAACACTCAAACATACAACATCAGGACTACAATACAGTAGACATTCAGCGACGTCTACTTATAATAAAGGGTCTGAAATAGCACAAATACTTAATATAGTACCTAGCACAGAACAAAATTAATTCTCACCCCTCAACATCCACTACTTGGCAAAAATATTAGAACTACTATTGTCACTTCATCTTACACATATTAAAAAGGGCGCTCTCAATTTCATTTAAACAGTTCAATGACAAAATATTTTGTGGGAGTTTATTCCAATATTTTACAGTTCCACAGGGAAGAAAGAGAAATTATAAGCGTCAATATTACTTTTGGGCACTTCAAACTAGTCAATGCTAACGGATCTCAGCTCTCTCGATGCGCGAGGTGTTAATCTAGAATTCGGGTCAATATTCTACAGGTGATGAGAAAACACAAATAAAAACTTTAGTCGCGTAATTTTTCGACGGACAGAAAGTAAGGGGAGATTGAGGCTGTTCAGCATATCTGTGACGGAATCAAGTCGCTTGTACTTGGATAGAATAAACCGCACCGCCTTCCTCTGAACTTTTTCGAGTTCACCAATTAGATCTTAGGGGTCCTATACCGATGCAGTGTACTCCAAGGTTAGCCTAATATACGTTGTGTAGGACATTAACTTCGCTTGAGGTGCAGCACAGTTCAGA